TAATCAACAATACACCATATTCGTTTTTCATATTTATTATCATTTTCTTCATCGATCAATAAACGTCGATAAATCGGATCATGAATTAATATAACGATATTAAAGATTAAAAGAAGAAGAATAACTAATTTAGCTGCTTGTTTACTTTTCTTTTTAACAAAACGAGTAGCTTTGATAATAGTTATTGCTCGTTCACACGCTACAGCTGCATTTAACCATTGATCCATATTAAGACAAATTCGAAGTAGATAATCAAGAGAAATACATTGAATTTTTAAAAATAATTCGTTCGATATAATAGACATTTGACCAAGAATAAGTATCCAAAATTTCAATCCAAATATAACCATTGTTAATAAAGTTGTAATTGAAGAACCTAAGAGATAAATACCACAACCAACTTCACGTACACTTTTATTCTTGAATGTAATTATTGAAAGAATACCATTAATAAAGCCTACTATCATAAAGATTATAGTCAATGCTATACTTACTTTTACAATACTTGTTTGATGTGTAATACTAGTTTGTGGTAGAATATGATAACCTAAGATATTATCAAGTGATAAACCAAATCCACGAGTAGTAAATTGACATCGTCTTCCATAAAAACATCGGGGACACATACATAATAATTTTTTAGGACACTTTGCTGTATCCTGAAAACATTCCGCTCCATTTTGACATTCACTATGGCCTGAACAATCAAATTTCATACTGTGATTAAATTCAAAACAATTAGCCAAACGTATTTGACCATAATTATAACATAAACAAAACTGAGTATTATCATAAAAACAAGAACGATTTAATGAATACATTTGACATGGTAAATGATAATATTTCATACGACGAATAAGATGTAATTTAGCCATACTTTCATTAAATATTTCATTTATATATTGACAACGATCTGATGGATTTATCATTTTATTATTTATTGTTGATTCATTATAAACATTTTGAAGAAAGGTTAAATAATAATTTTTTCGAGGAACTTCAATGAAAACAATATGAAATGGCCTTGACCAAAATATTGTAATAAAATCTTGATGAACAGGAATTGTTTGAAATATAGTCGATCTCTTTGGTTCATCATTATTGATGACTTCAATAAAATGAATAAATATTGATTCGGATAAACTAATACTTTTTTCAAATGATATTATTATTTTATTATCATCTAATTCACATCGATCTCCAATATAACCTTCTGGACAAATACATGTAAAGTTTTTACTCGATATCATGTATCTATCATTAGGAATACATTTACCACCATTTTTACATATTAGATTTTTATTATTTTGACAAATTGGATTATCAAGAAGACATCGAGGTCCAAATTTATTCAAAGGACAAACACATATTGATTGTTTATTAGGAGAAACACTAATATATGTTGAATCTGATGAACACTTTGAAGAATGTTTAATTGTACAATAACGTCCAAACCATCCCGAATGACATTGACAAAATGTTTTTTCTTGATTATTTGAATATTTAATACATCGACCATTAATACATAAATTATTTGAATAACTTTCCATATTAATATCACGATTTGGAATATCAATGAGTAATGATAAACGATGAACAGGTAAAAATATAAATTGAATTGGAAAAAGCAAACTTGCTCGATATTTTAATGATATTTTTTCATAAATATCAATATGTATTCCATAATTTTTTGTTTCATTTTTTGGTCGATTTGAATAAGTTAAATAAAGATGAGATTTATTTTCACAATCTCTCATTGATAAATAAGTTAATTGTTCATATGAATGAATCATTTGTTCACTATCATCATCGATTAATAAAATAACAATTGCAAATGGTGTTTGCCATGAATCAGATGATGTTTGAAATCTAAGTGATAAACTTATTCGTTGATTTTGATATTGACATCGATCACCATAATAACTTGGTGGACAAAAACACATTTTGTCTGTTCGATTATTTGCATTCTTTGACCGCATATGTACATCAATACCACGATGACAACGAAGTTCACGTAGATCAGGCTTTTGAGTTTCACCTGTAATTATACTTGAACGTACTTCATTTTCTATATGTTTTGTTCGATCATTTGGTGACTTCTTCGTTCGATTGAGAGTAAAATATGTAATCTGTTCTTTTGTATATTCATCCATTTGATTGCATAAAAAATTCTCAACATCTGAAGCATTTGGACGTTCATATGCCCAACAAATAGACTGGGTTGGGTGTTGTTTATGTGTTGTACAAAATTGTTCATCATCTCCATAATCACAATCATTCTCATTGTCACATAAATCAGAATGAATGAGACATTGTTCTGAACTATGATTCATACAATAAAAGTTATTATGATAATTAATTACTTTATATTCTGTGCGACATAATGTTGGTTCATCGGTAGCTCCAATACAATCAACCTTACCATCATTTGCTTTGCTAATTGGTAAACAAATAAATTGATTCGTATTAGGTGAAACACATTTGTGTTCATCTGAAGAACAGTTTGATGATAAATCACAATCAATTTCATCTGCACCATCAAAACAATTCCATAAACCATCACAATTTGTATAAATATTATTACATGACCATTGTTCACATTCAGTTTCATCTGTTTCATTTTGCCCATCTATTGTTATTGGTGATAATTCAGTAAATCCATCACAAATTGTTTGAAAGGAAATATGTATTGTTGAATCTCGAATTTGCAAGTTTAATTCGTCATCGTACTCTCCATCTGTATCTATAATTTCTTCTGTTGAAACAGCATAATTCAACAAAGTTTTATTTTCATCATCACTATTAGGACAATCGATTACACCATCCATGCGACGATGTTTAGAAATACATTTCAATGAATTTGAACATTGATACATATTCGATCTATTACAAATTGTAGAGTTATAATTATAAATTTCATGATATCGCCAAAGTTTCGAACGTAACTCTCTTAAAAGATATAATCGGGTTACTGAAAAGTATTCAAATTGCTGAAGAATGAATGAATTGGGCAGACGATGACACACTCGATTATTGAGTAACAACTTTGAATAATTATATTTCTTGTCTGAAACTTCATTAAAATAATTATCATAACGAGAATTATTATAGCATGCATAAGGATACTTAAATAATTCAGAATTCTCCACACATGATTTGCATTTTTCATAAGCAAAATAAATGTCACCAAATAAAACTGGAATGATTGGCATATAGAATATATCTGGACATTCACGTTCAAAGACTTCATAACAATCATAGTTTGCGCAAGAATCAGTACAATTGGATGAAAGTGGCTTATACAAATCAATACCTTGGCATACGAATGCAGACCAGCATTGATCAGATGTGGAATTGTCCTTCACATAATACATGTTTTTAAATACCGCTTCTTGACGTCCTGACCAACAAGAACCGATGCATGTTACATTTTGACAGTTTAGATCTTTACATGTTACATCTTCACATTCAAATGATGGCTTGTTTTGATTACATTTATTATTTTCGTTATGAATTCGATGATCTTCATCCGAACCATCAAGACAATCAGAAAAATAGTTATCATCTTGATAAAACGATTTGTGTATGCATTGTCCGTTATTACATCGATGTTCATCTCTATTACATTCATTTATTTCAAGTTGCCAACAATATTCTTCATCAACTCCACTGTTAAGACAATCAATTTGTCCATTACAAATTTCAGTCCAATCTAAACATGCTGGAGAATGACCACGATTACATTTTAAATGAGTATAACAAGTGAAATCAGCTGGATGATATGAATTATTTTGATAGAAACCATTAATCATTTCATATAAAGATGGATAATTTGAATAATGATGATCAATTTCATATTGACACATTGAACCAAATGTTGGTGATGTACAATTATAAAAGACGTTTTTTGATAATTCTAAATCATTTGATATTGATAATTGATTTAAATAAAATTGATAATCTTCAATAATGTCGATTGGTGCTGACCAAAGATATAATTGTTCACTTGTTATATTTTGTTTTGAAAGGTAATCAAAAGTAAATTTTGGAAAGATATTATTTTCTTCTATATGAAATTCCGTTGGTAATTCACTCATACAAAAATGTATTATTTCACGACTAAAATTTCGCACTTCATTCAACACATCAAAGCGCAAACAATCGTGCTGTAAAATACCATTATTTTCATTTTTACTTACCCAACCTGTATGATGAAGATTGATTTGACTTATAGCAACAGTCAAATGTAAAAAAACTAAATAGAATAAATATTTCATATGAAATATTTTAGGTGTCATTTAATTTAAAAAAAGTGAATTTAGTATTGACTATTTATACATTGGATATTTTTTTCTCTTTTATAAAAACATTTGGAAACGTTATTTGTACAAATATTAATGATAAACTATGAATAAACTCATTTGTTCCTGTTCGGAAAGTTAAATTTCTAGTTGCTGACGTAAATTTCAATTATTATAGCAGATGATGGCAACAAGTAACTCTTTTCTCTGACGTAAATCCGAATAAATATCTATTTTTTAACGTTGAACGTCATAAAAAAAAATGTTCTTAAAGTTCTTACTATATTTTTTAACAGATGGAACTATACGTAGGCGAAATTGAATAAATCCACGTCATAAATTCTTTTTTTTTAAATATATGTAAAAAGTACGTAAAAACAATTACGTCTATGATTACAAAGCAAATTTTCAAAGAATATACATATATTTTGTGCGATGTGCGTCACATTCATTTCATATTAAAGTTCTCATTTAATTATTAACATTTGTACTTTCTCTTCTCTTCTCTTCTCTTATATCTATATGTAGAACAAAATAAAGTGAATATACTCGAATTCACTTTTAATATTTATTGCATTCATTTTTTCAATGCAAATTACCAACAATCTGCTAATAATTTATCCTTTGGTCACATGAGATATATTAGTTTTAATTTCTTAAAAGATTTTCTTGTTTATTAATATCTTTTTTTGATATTAACCATTTTTCTATCAATTTCTTTATAAGCACTTGTTTTTGTAAAGTTCTTCAGCATGTACAAATTTAAGCTTATCTTTGTCTAATTGACGATATTACTTCAATTTTTGTGAATTATATCTCTTCTTTATGATGTTAATTACTGAATACTTTTGATATATATTTTAGTAAATGTATTTAACAATAAATCGAAAAAAGATTGATACCGAATAAAGCATTGTTTTTTGATTGATAAAATTAATAGTAGGTAAAAACTAAATAATCGGTATTTATTTTCTTTTTCTGTTCTGTCAAGATTCACGATGAAATGCAAATGTAAGTATTAAAATGAGTTATTTATCTCAGTTCCTGTTTTTTTTGTTAACAAATAAATGCATTGAAATGACGTGTTTTACTTTTATTGTTTCACAAATATAGCTAGTTAAGTTATATTTAACTAGGCAAATCTTTCACCATCGTCTTACATTCAAATTGATTTTTCAAAAAGATGAGAATGTTTTTATTAACATTTATTCTCGCATCAATTATACTCTCTTCATACAAGATAACAGCTGCAACAGAATTTTGTGACTATCCCTGTGGTAGACTCTTTTGGATTTTTCTGCTGAATATGAAAGATAATTATAGTTTACAAGTTGAGGCTTAGAATTAGCAATCTAGCGCTCAAAAATTGATGACCTACTGTGAACTGTTTGTGAAATGCAAACAATCTTTGATCAAACCTGTGTTTCTTGTGCTGGTCATTTATCAGAACGCGCATCATGTCCACCTGGTTTTACTGTAATGCACTGAATAGTTGATTTTGGTAATAGGTTCTTAGTCATGGTGCTTATAAACAATGAACTAGAAATTAAGGATAAATTTTTAATCCATAAAATAATTAACGCTCTATAGATATATTCAAATTCTACAATTTCTTCCCTTTATATTACTCATATTTTTTGTGTTCATTATTCTAACTCGATTTTATCAATAAAGAATAAATCTTTCTCCAAGCTTTAAACAAACATTGTTTAATAATATATGTAAATATTTGTGATAAGAATAATAATGCTTTTCTCGTTGGCTTGGTCTTTCTTTTATAATGATCAATACTGTTTCTATATTTTTAATACACACTTGTCGATGCGACTCGCTTGATCCTCAACTGATATTAAATTTTATCATTGTGAGATATTAGTTTATTCCATAACCAAACGCTAATTCATATAAAAAGAATGATGACACATCACACACACCAAACACCAAACACATAGAACAGAACAAGATATATCTACCGCTGCCAAAGTCTTCTCTCTGACTCAGAATAACAAAAAATGGAAGAGAAAAGAATGAATCATGCGCAGAGCACATGACAATCTTCATATATCACTACTTGTTCAAATCTGTTTTGTAAATTATCTCTAAACTAAAGCGTGACACCTAACTCGAAGTCGGCGCCGCTACTTCCAATTGCTCGATCGTGTGTACGATCAGATTCTAATTGTGTTTTGTTTAATATATTCTTGAGGCGCAAAAACAAATTTTTAGAAATAAGTACTCTTTAATGCACAGGTTAACTAGAAATTCTTTTCTCATTTAATTAAAGGGCTTGAAGTAATTGGGCCGACATTTTTTGCAATAAAGTGAAATGGGTCCATGGCAATAAATAGCTAAGTCACACCCGCATATTTAGAATATGAATATTAGTTGAAAGAAGTAGCTAATATTAACAAATGTATAGATAAAATTAAACTTGTTACATAACTGAATATGAGTAGAAGTTATTTATTAGGTATAAAGCTTATCAATAAAATTTTAATAAAAAACGAAAATATGAATGAAGAACAGAAATAATAGATTCTTCTAATGTTTATTATCAACACAGATTAAGAATCAAAAGAAGACTTATGATATAATTCCTTTGAGAGAAATTTAATTAGAGAAGATTATCGGAGAAAACGATAAGTTCTGTTCATTTTGCCCTGTTTCCAAGATATTCTATTAGGAGAATATTTTTACAAAATGGTAACAATAAAGTTATTCAACTTCTTTAGAATAAATATGAGAAACGTTTTTTATCTTTTGTTTTCATTAGTATTTTTCAAAATATGACTTGGAAATGAAGCATTGAAAATAGAGATTTTTTAACAATGAACATCGTGAATAAAGTGGTATGTCATTCTGTAAATTATTAACTAACCAAATGATTTCGTCGATTTAATCAGACATTTTTTTTTATTCTTCACCCTCCAAATTATTTTTGTTTTTTTTTGTCTTTTTACTTTGTCACCTGTAATATCAGTTTATTTGAGGAACGTAAGTGTAACTATAAATAAACCCAGAGTGAGTAAAATACTGATTCACACTCTCACTCGTCTCTTTTTACTTTCAATAATATAAATTAGATTTTCCTTTTCCTTTGTTTAGTCAGAAATAAGTGGTAGTTTTTCCACAATATGCCTTGTTTC